CTAAGGGAGGGTTTCAATAAACTTTTTTGCTGTTCGCTATGCTGATTTTTGAAAATCCTTTTTTAGTATAAGTAATGGTTTTTGTTTATCCAAATCTAGTAGAAGATAATACTAACACGGCGTATTCACATGCCATCATGCTGATGTGAGAAAAATATGTGCGTGTGAATATTTCGATTATGCTGGTCAGTCAAGCCGCTCTGACTAGTATCGGTTACGGTTAATAACCGTGACTAGATAGTTATAACTGGGGATGGGCCGCTGTGCAGGCAGAAGTTCAGAATATTTCAGAATTTAACAATTAATACCCGTATTAGCAGAAAACTGCCTTAATGTGGGCCTGTTTAGTCTGCACATTTTGCACAACCTGCGCACTAAATTCAAAAAATCATCAATTTGCCCTTCCCTAGTTGTAACCGTAACTGAACCCATCTTTATTCTGAAGCATAATATTAGATAATCTTTCTTAGTAATTAAAAACGGATAAATCAATATTTAATAACTTTTAACTGCTATCATTATCGTTGATGAGATATTCTTGACAAAAGAAATTTAATTTTTAATAACGAGTAGCTTGTCATCGAATTGCGAGATCAGATGACTTTATAGATCACATGCTTAGATTGACCTTTTATGAACTGTATGGTTTGCTGTGTTGTTCTCGTTAAATCAGGTGTTAAGTGGTAAACAGATATGAATGTTAACAAATTAGTGCTAAAGTAAAGGAGTATTTTTATATGGCTTCATACGTGAATCAGATAAGTGGGATGGAGAGAGAAAGATGTAATGTAGTGTTTTTATGGGTGATGTTTTTTAGTAAAAAAAGCTTATATTACTCTTTACTATATCTTGCCTTGCAGGAAGGCTACTTTATCATCCTTCCCATCCCACCCACAGTGCAGTGACCCACAATAAATTTAAATACTTGACGGTTGACTTGTATAACAAGGTGTAATGTCAGGCAGTAGCTGGTTTTGTTTTAGTTTTTTATTTTTGTAACTATGAAGCTCCGTGGCTGCTGCAGTAGTACAAGGATTTTGTTTTGTAATGGTTAGGCACCAAGGCTACAGTAGTACAAGGATTTGTTTTTGTAGTAATTAGGCTCTGAGACTGCAGTAGCAGTGCAAAGACCTTAGTAATTAGGCTCCATGGCTATGGTAGTAGTGTAACACCTGGTTTTTGTAGCAATTAGGCTGCAGTAGCAGTATGTTATGGCTAAGAAAAGCTTTTATATGTCCAGGCCAAGTTAGTTCAATGTCGTAAGTATAAAACCTGATGGTAAATTGTACAGGCTGGGTCCTTATTTAGTAGTAGTTATCAACTAAGGTATGCGTTGTAGGGGTTGTCAGCGCTATACTTACAGTAGGTTATATTATTGTCTTAATTAAGCTATATTTGTAAGAGGTCGCCACGGGCTATGTTTAGGTTACTTGGGGTCCAAGTTAGATCGCTACGGGTTACGTTTAGATTCAAGTTGATTACTTCATGCCACTTAGTAAGCGGGGACGGAGCGACAGGTCACTTAGGCCAGACCAAGTTGATTATGTGTTTTACATTACCCTCCCCCTCCTCAGAGCTCCCCCTCCCTCATAGTAAAAAAAATTTAGATGAATATACATAGGGCTACGGGGTATTTCAGAAAATTTTTATACAGTCACGGAACAATTCGGAAAAATTTTTTTAAAATTTTACTATGTGAACCACCCCTCCCCCCACCCCTCTCCTGGAGGGGAGAGGGGGGTAATGTAAAACACATAATCAACTTGGTCTGGCCTGTATTATTTAGATGCCAACAACTATACTTATTATTGGAGCCAAGTAAGAAAGAGTTGCTTTATTTACTAGACAGACGTCCTATTTATACATTTTGATGTGCAAGGATTTCAAACCCGGATCCGGAGTTTCGAACCCAGATCTCCGGATCCCAGGTTTCAAACCCTAACCCCAGGTTTCAAGCCCGTACACGTGCTATTACTGTCGTGACTACGTATTTTACTGTTTTTACATATGAAAAGTAAAGAAACTACATAGCGAAATTTACAAGGTAAGAAAAATTTTGTCAAAATTTTTCGTAATACAGTACAAGAACCTGGCAGTTAGGCTTCGCACTAGCAGTGCAAAAACCTTATTTTAGGTTCCATAGATACTGTAGTAGTGTATGAACCTTCGCTAAATGGGTTGCAGGCTCCGTGGCTGAGATAACAGTGCAGTGTATTTAAAAACCCATTCAAGTCACCATAACTCAATCCTGTATATACCTGAGTACTCACATGCATATGCATAAACTTTACTGACGCTGATCGTACTGGTCTTGCGCGGAACCACGTGCTGCGCAGCTACCTTATTCTGTAATTGATGCACATATGATCCAACCAATCACATGGAATCATATGATCGTATGATCATGTTTTTTACAAATTACATGAAAACCATTTTACGCAAAATTACGGTAATTTTACAACCTTAGCTGGCAGACGCCCCTAGCTCTCCCACAAAAAATTGGTCACCCCTGTAATTTTGACCAATCGAATTTCAGGGTCAGATGTAACGTAAAAATCGAACCGAACCCAATTTTTTTACAAAAAAAACAGGAATAACTCTAAATTTTAATTATGAGACCACCTTCTGCGGCCTAATTAAAATGTTTCTCGTGATGTTTTACTAATAGGAGTTATATTTTTCTAATCCTAACCTAATTATAACACGTTTTCTTGGTTTTCATTTTACGCGTAGCTTTTTTAGTTAGAAAACAAACCACGTTTGTTTTGACACCTGATCTTAAATTTTGATTGGTCAAAATTACTGGGGATGAACAATTTTTTGTGGGATCGCTACCTAAATTAGCTGGCAATATACTAAAAACATTGTGGCACTAAAAAAAAAAAGTTTCAGGCACTTGGACGCTAGTATTTCTGTCCGGTATAGTGCAATAGTGCCTGGTACAATTGGTATTGTGCCAGGCATGTTTAATCAGCTTCAAGCTTTTAAAGATTCAGAATTGAAATTTAAAATCAGAAATCTTGTTTTCTTTTATTAGAGCTCATTGGCCCTAAATGAAATTACCGCATGAATTTATCTTAAATTCGGATTTTACAATTTATAGTTATTGGATAGGTTTCAAAATTTTGCATGTGGGTGTTAAGGGTGGAAGGTGATTGGTGCATATCATGCCGTTGCGCGGCATGATTTGCGCCAATCATCTGTTGCTGTTTAACACCCACGTGAATATTTTAACCCAATAACGGTATTATTGTGAAGCAGTTATTGACGATTTCATTTGTATAGTTTATGCCATCAATTTAAACCTTTTGCTTACATCCACCTTTTTTTCAGCATTAAAATTTAAGCCATAAAAAAAAGATGCAAAAACATAGTACCCTAGCCATGGCTAAAAATGTACGGGTCACGTGATAGAGAAAAATTCTTTATGGTCGGATTAACGTTTATATTAGGGTTAGATTTTAGTGAAATGTATTGTAACGGTTGGTTTGGAGAGCGATGCACAATAAATGTGCAGTGTAGCTCCAACCGCTACTAGAAGTTATGTGGATTGAATAATAAAAGGTTTCTATAGGGCATAGTAATTCTATTAGAGCGACTTAATGATGGTGCGAAATTAAGGAGAGAATATTATTATGTCCAGGTTACTTTTATTATGAGAATGAGCTTCTCCCGTTTATTAGAATGAAGGCTTCACTTTTATACATTTGGATTAATATGAAAGAGAACACATTCTGGAACCTACTTTATGACATCAGAGGCATCACGCTATCGTGTTAGCCTCATGTCAATATGCACACACTACCTCTTTCGAGGGCTTTAACAATCATGATACTAATCTAGTTAGATAATCAATTACACAAAAAGGATAAGATTATAAAATTAAATTCGTTACAATATGTAAAATCTCTCAAAAATTTTTTTTTGTTAGAGCGCAGAAGGCGTTTTCTTATAAAATTTTCGAGAAATAAGCAATTTTTGAACATTTGTTTTGAATTTTCCTGATCGTGTTACGTTACACAAAATCGGGATTCGTTATTGGATAATTTGCCCGCAGATCGTCACATGACCCGTACATTTTTCGCCATGGCTAGGGTACTTGCTGCTCAATAAATTAAATATAAACGATTCATTATAAATTAACAATTTTTTTTTTATTTGCGCAAACCTTTCATTGGTATCAAATAAGAAAAAGCATTTGTTGATACAGTGTTGATGCTAATTGATTAAACCTACAAAAATTAGGCTCATTTTTGTTTTATATGAACACTATTTTTTTTTTTTTTTTTTACTTTTTGTTATTGACTAAATGTTTAACGGAGCTAGTGTATGATTTTCTAAGTCATTTTCGAAAAGGCGATGTCGATATCAATTAATTGGAGGTAATACTAGATAATAAACAAGCTAATTATATACTTGATAGATAATTTTAGTTCGTATATCATAAAAATATTATTCTAATAAATCCTTCTTAACAATAGAAAGCTCAACACTATTATACCAAAAAGATTTTAAACATTTCCACATAGCACCATTTTTAATTCCACTAACCTTTCCAGATTTTAACAAGTATTTTAAAACTACTCTATCATTATTTTCTTCTCCAACACTAATTCCATCACACTTCAAATTCCTATTCCAAATAATAACACAATCTTTTGGTACTTTGATTCCACAACTTTTTGCAACAATTTTTCTAAATTTTCGTAACGAAATATCTCGAAATAAGTTAATTAATAAAGGAGAAGAAGGATAGATCCAATGGATGTGCACTTTGAAAGAAATTATTGATGGGCATTTTGGAATATTTTTAAAATCATTTTCATGATAAAGGTCTGGACGATTAGATAAAGTGGGCGAACTAAAATTATGAAGAGGGTTTGTAACTAAATTATTTGAAATATTTGTATAAGTTGAAACAAGTGTGGGATTTGTGCAATTGGTGGCGTATCGTCGGTTCATGAAGCCTTTTGGGGTTATTTGAAGTGATAAGTTGACATCGATAACACTATGTCTACCTTCTATCTTTCCGGTTTTGTCACTCTGGAGTTGATTGATTGATGAAATCGCACCGCGATTTTCATTGAATGATTGTATGGAATCAACTTCGGCAATAAGGTTAATTTCAGATTGATGTTGAAAAGCAGTTGAATTTTCATCATCGCTTGCGTTCTCGAAAATTGTTTCAAGAGTACCACACGCCTGACGATACTTATATCCAGCAAGAGAAGCTCGACGAATAATTTTAATATGGAATTCTAATAGACAAATTTATAAAAATTTTGCAAGACCGGTTTATAAATAAATTTATAAATCGTGATCGTAACGTGAATTTAGTTCTAAGCTCATCAAAGCATTATTGATATTAATTTTATTTCTTAGGTGATCGTTGTTTTTAGGTAATAAAAATAATAATGGAATTGATTAGATATTGATGGCGTTTTATCACACTCATTGTTTAAACAATAAATAAGTAACAACAATACATTGGTTAATAATTAATGTAAATGTATTATACACACGTGACAAATGTAATACAAATACGACCTTTAAAAATACAATATAGCTTAAAATTTCAGATAAATAGTTAATTAGTCAAACGCACGACGCGATTTAAATTTAAATAACTGAAAAATATGACGATGAGAAATTATTTCAAGTAATTCGAATATTTAAAAAAAAAGAAAGAAATCGACTTTATACTAAATCTATTTCCTTTTTTTATGTTTTCAAAAGTACTGTGCATTGTGGAAGTGTAAATTACTCCCGGAAGTACTGCGGATCCGACGTAGTACAAAGCCGATTTCTTTTATTTTTTCTGTTATTTTTTTGACTCGATCAATTTTTTCGATTCGATTTATTTTATAGATTCGTTTTATTCGTTCGATTAAATAGTATCGATTGATATTATTTGTTCGTTTATGTTATTGTAACTATTTTTAGTCAGTAATTGAAAAGTATATAAGCGAAACCATTTCGCTCTGAATAAAGACAGCTTTCAGCTCTCAACTCACGGTTAGAATTCAGCATCTATTAGGTGCTTGTCTCTGGAATTCCCTCTTGAAAAGTAAAATCTATATTAACGATAGGGCTTAGTGTCCAAATCCCGTGACTTCGCATTAAGAGATTCGTGACGCAGTCTAGAGCTCTAATTGACTCAAATTACTCGGACCAAGTCTTTCCACGCCCCGATCGGAGCATTCTTAAGGTTGAATTAGAGTAGTTTGAGTAGTTTTAGTTAGTATTAGTATAGTATTATAGTGTATTTTTGTAGTACAGAGCATTTTACACTGTTACAGTGTACGTACTTATCACACTTGCACAGTGTTGTTAATGTCACTATTCGAACTTTGAACTATGGTTATTTACCCGGTTCAAGTCAGCCATAAGACATCGGATTAGTTAAATAACTTCGATATGCATAGCATATGCATAGTTCTATAAATATAAACTTTATAATCATGTAATTACACATTTTAGATATCTGCACGTTCAATTGTATTGACTCAGTTAATGGATTAAATAACCGATTCATTAGTTCAAATAGTTAATTAACATTGTCTCGGTTAAATTAACAACACTGCATTTGCATGATACATATCTATATAATGTATGTGAAGTCTTTATATCTATGTCTAAAAATTGATTTTAATAATTATGGCATCTTTCTATACTTTTTCTATTGACATATAATTCTATTCACTTTTTCTATTGACATATAATTCTATTCACTTTTTTTATTTTCCTATTGTAAATTTTTAGTATTTAAACTTTATTAATTAAATATAAAAATATTTTAAATTTATTACTTTACTAATGCTTTAACAATATATCTTTAAATAACTATAAATTATTAATAAAAAATTTTTTATTTATTAAAGACAAAAAAATCGAGCTTTTGCTCTATTGTTCTATTTGCCAACACTGATTATAACCACCATATATGGAGAGCAGGGTTTAAAATCCTATAGTAATTTGCCGGCCTACAGCTTATTGTTTGAAGTGTTTTTCTTGATTCATTAAATTAGAGTATTATACTATACATTTTATTGTTTACTATATCAGTCAATTAATTATTAATATACTATAGATAAAGAATGACACTTTTGAGTGGCCGGCAAATTACTATAGAATTTTAAGCCCTGATGGAGAGCATTAATCTAATTGAAAATAATTAAACTTCCTATACAACTGTGGTAAGTGAAATTACCTTAAACTATTATAATCCAATATTTAGTTTTTTTATCTTTATGAATTCGATTCTTCCAAGCTTTGTTCATGTACCATCATATTATAAATTCCTTTAAGTTTTAATAATTCTTGATGTGTGCCTTGTTCATGAACTTTACCATCTTTTATAACATATATAACATCTGCATGTTGAATTGTTGATAATCTATGCGCAATTGCTAAAGTTGTCCTTCCGTGAGCTGCAGCATCAAGTGCTTTTTGTACAACCTTTTCTGATTCCGAATCTAAGGCCGATGTTGCTTCATCAAGTAATAAAATTTTTGGATTTCGAATAAGTGCTCTGGCGATGGCAATTCGTTGCTTTTGTCCACCTAAAAGAAAATGTATTAATAAATGTCACACTGGACTTTTTAAAAAAGTTATGAGAAACAATATTTAAGATAATAACCTGAAAGTTGTGTTCCTTTTCCACCAACACGAGTATCATATCCATCAGGTAATCCAACAATAAATTCATGAATATTTGCTTCTCGACATGCATTTTCTATATCATTTTGTGTAATATTTTGCCCGGATCGACTTCCAAAAAGAAGATTTTCTTTTATAGTCATATCATATAATGATGGTTCTTGACTTACAAGTGCAATATGCTCTCGAAGATTGTTCACATTCATTTTGGTAATATCTATTCCATCAATTGTAATTGTACCACTCGTCAACTGATAAAATCTTTCGGTAAGACTTACTGTGGTACTTTTACCACATCCTGATGTCCCAACTAATGCTGCATATTGACCAGGCTTAATTTCTAAATTTAAACCTTGGAGAACTGGAACATTAGGTCGAGTCGGATAATGAAAATAAGCATCTGTGAATTTAAGGTGACCATTGATAGTTTTAACCTTTTCACCATCTTGATTCCATGTATCAATCACAGGAACACGTTCTAATAATGATACTATGGTAGCAGATGCAGACCTTGCTTTCGTCATATCTGGTGTGTAAGCAAAGACACGGCCAATAGACTGTGATCCAATTATAATGGCCGCATAAACTACAAACATTTTTTGAAGATCATATTCACCGTCCATAAATAATTTACTACCATACCAAAATGTTAAAGCATTTATTAAATAGGAGATGCTTTGCCCAAAAGCAAAAATAGTGGAGGCTAAGTATGCATTTTTAAATCCTTGACGCATGGGTCCATCTAATAAATTATGATATTTTTTCCATAAATCATCTTCACGAGTAAGAGCAGCGACCGTTCTAATATTACTAGCTCCTTCATTAGCTATTTGAGTGGAATATTCATAGGCTTTCTTAGTTTTTTGTTGGAATCCATCTACCATTTTTATACGTAATGCAGCAGCTCCAATTAATACAGGTGAAGCAACTGCGGAGACCAAAGTGAGCTTCCAACCAAATATAAATGCCGCTGTGAAAGATGCACAAAGCGAAGCCATTACTTGTAATAGATTTCCAAGTGTAGAACCCGCTAAACCACTAACATGTGTTACATCTAATGATAATCGACCAGTCAAAACACCTACACCATTACCTTCTTCATCAAAAAAAGAAATATCTTGTCGTAAAATAGATGCAAAAGACATGGACTGAACTCGTTCTGTAAGCTTTTCACTCGCAAATCCAAGAGCAACTTGTTGAATAAGATTCAAAGAAAATGACACCATGGCATATATAAAAAATATAAGTGACCAGAAATTTGCTTTATGACGTAAAGTTTCACCAGTTTCTGAAAGTGCTTGAATAATATTAGCAAATGTAATAGCAAATATCGGGTAAATGCAGCCTAAAATTAATTATACGTATATTTTAATAAATAGTTACATACAATACAGGTATAATCATTAATATTAATAAAGTTTTCTATCACTTACCATTAAGGACTGATGTTATTATACCTATGGAAAGTATAAAAGATTCAGGTCCATTGATGAATGCTATCTTCTTGATTAGTTCCCAAGAAGAGTAATGACAATCATTATGTTTCAATCCCATTTCAGTATCAGCTTTTTGTTTGGCCGAAATAATCGGATTTTCATTATCTTTGATAGTGTCCTTAATTGTAATATCATCTTTAGGTGGAATTATAAATAAATCTGGTTCATTCTCATTCAGATTTTCTTCAACCTTTGAAGTCTGTTGAATCTGTTGAGTTTCAACAAGTTTAAAATAAAAACTTTTTTTATCCATAAGCTCTTTGTGTGTACCCGATTCCACAATAACGCCTTTATTCATCACAATAATCTTTTTTGCATTGCGAATAGTGGTTAAACGATGTGCAATAACTATTGTTGTACGACCCATTGAAGCTTTATCTAATGCATTTTGAACTATTCCCTCACTTGCTGTATCAAGAGCGCTAGTAGCTTCGTCGAGTAATAAAATCTTTGGATCTTTAATAATAGCACGAGCGATTGCGATACGTTGCTTTTGACCTCCAGATAATAAAATTCCACGCTCCCCAACCATAGTTTCATATTTATCAGGAAGGTTCATAATAAAATCATGAGCATTAGCCATCTTACAAGCATTTTCAATCATTTCACGTTTTTCGTTATCAGGTAAACTTTCATAAATAGAACCGATTAATCCATAAGATATATTTTCGGCTATAGTAGTTTTAAAAAGTATAGGTTCTTGACTTACAAGACTTATTTGTCTTCTTAGCCATGTTAAATTGAGAGATTTGACATCATGTCCATCAATAAATACGCCACCTGATATGGGATCATAGAAACGAAGTACAAGAGATACAATCGTACTTTTACCAGAACCCGAAGAACCAACGAGCGCAACTGTAGAACCAGGTTCAACATCCAATGATACATCATTTAAAACTTTAACTTCAGGGCGAGTTGGATAAATGAAATTTATATTCTTAAGTTGAATGTGACCTTCGATAGTTTCAAGCTTATCACCAGTATCAGAAGCAATGTCTATCGGAGGAACACGATCAATAGTTTCAAAAATTTTTGAACCAGCGCTAACAGCAAGGCTGATAGCTTGAAAATCGACAAAAAAATTTGAAAGACCAAAAGAGCCAATTATAATCGAAAAGAATACACCAGAAACCTTAAACAAAAGAAAAATTAATCAGGTTTTTTTTTTAAAAAAATAAATTAATATCTGAAAAAAAAAGCAAACATGTACTTGTCCGGCACTCATTTCATGTTTATAAATCAACGTAGAACCGTACCAGAAGGCCAAAGCATAAGATGAATATATGACAAAGAGCGTAATGCCAAGAGAAATACCAATCACCCAAGATTTTTTAACCCTTTCTTTTCTTGCATCACTTAAATAAGTATCATAAAGGTTAGAAAGCTTCTTTTGGGCACCAAAGGCCACTACAGTTCTGATCGTTGAAATAGCTTCTTCAGCAATTATTCCGGCACGAGATTTGGATTCCAAACCTTTTATCTCAAAAATCTTGCAATATTTATTCATTAACTTACTATTGCCAGCAAGAAAAGGCATAAGGTAGCATATTACAAGTGACAATTTCCAATTTACAATAAACGCGATAATGAATCCTGAAATGAATTGTGTAAAATACTGAAAAAACAGGGGAAAATGTAATAATATGTAAATATGATAGTAAAAAAAAAAAAAATTATATATACGTGTATATACTGTTGAACCTCCCAAAACTGGTCTTGTCAAAACCGATAATCTGTCAAATCTGATAAAAGCTTAATCCACCACATCTGTTTCTGATATATAAATCTAATAGTTTATAATGGTTTCAAATCTGATAACCTCTTAATACTATACAAAACCTGTCCACCATGCATATCGGTTTTGGGAGGTTCAACAGTATAAATATATGTATACGAACTTACTTGACAAGCGAAGGCAACTTTTTCACTGATACCATCTTGTATCGAGTGTGTATCAGAAGTAATGCGAGTAGTAACTTCACCTGAACCATGTTTGTCAAAATAAGCTATATTTTGTCTAAGAATTGCACGAAGATATTGTTCACGAATTTGTCGTGTTATTCTGAAAAACAAATACAATTCACGTGATAAGGTAAGTAACTTTTTCGAATAACTTGACATGAATTATAAAGAATTACCTTTCACCAGTATATACCCAAGTAGCTGTAGATATATACGTAGTAACAAAAATACCAATTGCAAAGTATACAAATATTAGTGAGAAGTTATCTACTTCTTGGGAAAACTCATCGGAGCTTATTATGTGATTTTGAAAATTGGTAAAATAATCGATAACTATTCCGAAAAAGATTGCTATTGAAGGCTGTCAAATTTAAATATAATATATCACAAATTGAAAATGTTTGAAAAAAAAAGCTTAAAGAGGCAAGTATAATGTACATACTGAAGCTGCTCCCGCAATTACTGAAAACATTAATCCAATAAACATAATTATCCAGTCAACTTTTGTAGCGAATCTATATAAAGAAATATATGAGACCTTTCTTTTAGTAACATTAATCTGATCATTTAAAATTTGTTCCTCTTTCGGATCAAGCTTAATGTTAGATGATTCAATATTAATCTGATCTTTTAGGATTTGTTCCTCGATCAGATCAAGCTTAATGTCAGATGACTCAAAATTAATCTGATCTTTTAAAATTTGTTCCTCTGTTGGATCAAGCTTAATATCGGGTGATTCTTTGATTGGTTTTTCGTCTACGCTCTCAGTCATCTTTGAAATTTCTATTAAGAATAATTTTATTAAATTATTATTTTATTAAATTACGATTCAATGATTCGTTTTTTTAAAAGTAGCTAAGAAAATTATTTCAATTAAGCTCGAGAAATTTATAACCTGTCACATATGGCAATCATTTTGCAATTTTGGTAATCGCTCAGGAAAGACATATGTTAAATTATTTCATTTGGCTATAATTAGTATTTACATTATTAAATCCCGAAAGTAGTTATTTGAGCCGATCAAATATCGGATATGGTAATCCGATTATTTCTTAATAACCATGTGAAATTGGGGTTGTCTATCAACTAAGTAAATCAAAACTATGTGTGGTATCATATAAAAATTTGTTATAAAATTTTTCCGTGTAACATTAATATTGATCTTCGTTATTATAATGTAATTAAAGAATGATATTATTTAATTAGACGATAATAATTTAGATGCAAGGCCTTTACGACTAAAAATTAGAACCCCAAACTTTGAATGAATTGATAGAAGATCTCTACAATGCAAGTTACAGAGCCAACTTTTATATTTGATTAAAAAAA